AACCGCTGGTGTCTACCCAGGTTTGAGGACTTACGCAGTTACACTGACAGGGAGAGCCAGTGCCCGAGTCCCACGAAGCCACGGGTCTTAGAGCCTGAGGACCAGTGAGAGCTGTTGTCGCTGCTGTCCTCGCTCCCCAGCCCCAGGCTGCGAGGGAATCCCGGTCAGGAGCGGCCGTAGAAACTTGCACATGGAAGTGACATCTCTGTGGGTCTCACCTGCTGTTCCACACCTTTGTGTGTGTGTTACTGGGGGTTTGCTCTGGGAGCACCCAAATACTTGATGCCATTGCCCAGGTCACGGGCAGAAGTGAGCTGCCATCTCTGTGGGTCAGGGCAAAGCAGCAGCCATACAGCTTTGTCTGTGTCACCCAGAGAGGGCGAACCCAAGAGGCCTCACCCAAGAGATGGTGCCCCTGGATTCCCTGGGTTGTTGGGGACCCCAGGGTGTTTGTGGCCAACACCAATAGAACAGAGACTTCTCTTTGAAGTGGGACCAGCTCGCTGCAGGGTTGCTGTGTCCGCACGCGACTCCAGCAGCAGGCAGGGCGGACAGCACGCAGAGACACACGGGGACGTTTAACACTCTCAGCCTCCAATTAGCATCAGGTGGCTGCTGCAGAGCCTGGCCTGCGTGTCGAGCGACGTCCACAGAGGTTAGCAAGTTCCCAGATTCCTTCCCCAAGCAGCTTCCCTGGTACTCACGAAGACGCACAAACACCTCGCGGCTTGCTGATCCCTGTAATGCCGCATAATTAGAAGAGAAGCCGCTAAGTCAGAAGGATTTAACTATTCCCCAGTCTCATCCTCCTCCCAAAGTGTTCCCTAAAGACTGGCTTCCTTGAGGGAGAACTTCTCTGCTAGAAATACCACGTGCCACGCCTCGGCCACGTGTGCCGCAGCTCCTTGCCCCTTTCCGTTGTCAAGCGATGCCCGTCCCCGTGAGCCCTGCCTTGTCTTTTACCCCAGGCCTTGCAGACATGGGCTTTGTGGCGTCTCAGTCAACTTGTCATCCCTCTAACAAGACAGCCAAGGCGGCCTAAACGTATGAAGAAAAGAGGTTGGCTCCATCGTGACTGTGGAGGTTTGCAGAGCGTTCGAGTGGCCCTGTTGCCGTGGCCTCTGGCGGTGGCGTTCTCACTGGCAGAGTCCTGAGGCAGCTGAGGTCATCACCTGGCTCCTCCCTGCCGCGCTGTCCAGTCTCGTCACTCCCCAGACATCGCTCCTCTCAGCTCCACACTTGATCTTAGCCAAAAGGCCGAGAGGCGATCCTCCTCCCATCAGCTCCATGTTGGGATTTCATTTCCACCCTCTTACTGCATTCACCTGAGAGTTGGGGGCTCAACTGTGTGGGTTTGGGGGCCAGCGGGGTGGATGCAGCCAGAGGCTTTTTGACTGAGGTTCCCTAGTACAGGCTCTGCTTGCCTGCAGTTGGCAGTGGGGACTGCATTTGTAAGAGGTGGCGATTGTGTGTCATGATGGAGCCCCTGCCCTCACAGCCTCTGGCTCCCTCCCCTACCATTGCATTTTTAAAGATTTATTTATTGGAAAGGTGGGGGGGGGGAGAGGGAGGGAGGGAGAGAGAGAGAGAGAGCAAGCGAGCGAGTGAGCGCGAGCGCGAGCTTCCATCTGCTGGTTCACTCCCCAGTTGGCTGCAACAGCTGGAGCTGTGCTGATCTGAAGCCAGGAGCAAGGAGCTTCTTCCAAGTCTCCCATGCAGGTGCAGGAGCTCAAGGACTTGGGCCATCTTCCACTGCTTTCCCAAGCCTTAGCAGAGAGCTGGGTCGGAAGTGGATCAGCCGGGACTTGAACCAGTGCGCATATGGGATGCTGGCACTGCAGGTGGTGTTTTTACCCGCTGCACCACAGTGCCAGCCCCAGCCTGCAAACACTTTACACGTCAGGCACAGGAAACCACAAAGCAAGAGCTCTGACGTCACATCGCCATCCAAACACCACCCCTCCCCCTCTGCGCCTGCAGGAGCCTGGAGCCCAGCCTGAGCAGCCGGGCCTAGGCACCTGCTCAGCAGGGTCTGTGGGTAGCTCTCGGCCACTCCTCCTCAGCACCAGAGGCTGGGAAGGTTCTCGGGGCAGGCGGTGAGGGACAGGTAAACAACGGGGGGAGAGGGCCCGCGTCGTGGTGACGTCATGCCTCTGCTCGCGACACTGGCATGCTGTAAGGGAGCGTCAGTCCGAATCCTGGCCGCTCCTGCTTCTGCCGTCGCTTGATCCACCTGGGAGATCTTTGCATCACAGCACATGGAAAGCTCTCTCGCTCTTTGAAAGCACATTTCCACTTTTGAGGCTATTAAGAATATACCTTTTTAAACATCTTACAGAAAAACAGCAAATGAAAAATGAACCTCCTTCCCCGCTGTGCCTGTCCTAATCTGTTATTGTTATCAGCGAGGACTCCGGTTCCTGGTTATTACCTGTTTTTCCAGACTTATTCTTAGGCTTGCACTCTCATAAATGTGCACAAACACAAAACATTAGGTTTTTTAAACTGGGCTCTCTCATGCGGACATGCCATGGTTTCCTGATGAATCATTCTTTTGTATCTAGACCTTTGATTGCTTGCAAATAAGCAACGAAAGAGGATGACCTTTGATGCCAGTCTTGGCTGATGTATTTGACTTTTTTAGAGAAAATGTATTTGAAAGGCAGAGAAACAGAGAAAGGGAGAGTTCATTGTCTCACCCCTGAACAGCCAGGACTGGGCCAGACAGGAGCTGGGAGCCAGGAAGCCCACCCCAGTTCTCCCACATGGGTGGCAGGGGCCCAGGTACTTGGGCCATCACCTGCTGCCTTTCAGGACGCTTGCGCAGAGCTGGATGGGACACGGGGCAGCTGCGACTCAGACCAGCGCTGCATGTGGGACATCGGTGTCGCAAGCAGCGACTTAACCCTCTGTGCCACACCGCCTGCCCCTTGATTGTTTTCCTTAGATAAATTCTGGAGCCTGGGGCAACGGATGTGGGTGTGTGCAGGGATCTTGGCACACGCAGCTTCATGGCTTCCTGATGTACTTTACCTTCTCTCCTCCTAGACACCCATCGGATGGTGATGGTCACCCTATCAGCAGGGTAGCCCTGACCCTAGCCCAGGGAGTTCTGGATGAATGAGGTGTGAAGTCATAGGACACAGAGCTTTTCCTGGTCAGCAGGCAGACTCATCCTTCCTGGGTCTCATGGGTCTCCCAGGACCACCTTCTGCGGCAAGACTGCTGCCTGCAGCCCAGGGTAATTGTCAGGCGGCAGACCTCTGTGAAGGGTCCGTGCGGGTCATTCTGTGTCTGGGCGCCAGGCGGGACTGAGAGGCAGCCCTTGGCTTCACGGTGCAGAGGCCACGTCTGGTGTCAGGGCTGGCAGAACACACTGCTTTCACTGCCCAGTGACTGTCATGTGGTCGTCAGAGGACATGGTCTGCTACTGAGAGCTTTCTATGTGCCGGGCCCCCTTCTGCATGCTGTACAAACATTCTCAGTATCCGGCAACCCTGCGAGTAGACTACTGCTACACACATTTTATATCTGAGGGCATGGGATCCAAGAAGCGGTTTACTCGTGGCCCACAGCCAGGAAGAGGTAGCCCTGGGGTTCAGTCCTGAGCTATGTGGACTAAGCTCCCCAAGCCCAGGCTGCAGAACCACTGCATTCTCCTGCCCCAAAGCCAGAACCTGCTGTTTGTTTCCTGTGCTCCAGGGAGCACTGTCTCGTGCCTGGAGAGCTGCTCCCAGTCCGGCTGCTCCTTCCCCATCCCGTGTCTCCGCCCTCTGTGCCCAGAGAACTGCTCCCAGTCCGGCTGCTCCTTCCCCATCCCACGTCTCCGCCCTCTGTGCCCAGAGAACTGCTCCCAGTCCGGCCTGCTCCTTCCCCATCCCGCGTCTCCGCCCTCTGTGCCCAGAGAACTGCTCCCAGTCTGGCTGCTCCTCCCCCCTCGCTCGTGCTTTCCCTGTCTTTGCCGAGGCTGTCTGGCATCAGAGCTTTTCAAGTTGGACGGAACCGGGTTTGCATCCGCTTTAGATGTGTGACCTTAGGCAAGATACAAACCTCCTGGAGCCTCAGTTTGCTCATCTGTAAAGGGGGATGGGTAATCACGGCCCCGGGGTTTTGGAGATTGGAGACTATGGCTCTCCTTTCCAGCTGTTCCACATTTTAACATCTTGACCAAGTGACTCTTTTGATCAGACTGACACAGGAAGCTCCTTCCTAGGCCTGAGAATAATTTTGTCCCCGGCCAAGGCCCTGAGGTTGTTACTGTGACCCCTTCCTGCTTCGAGACCCCCCCAGCATCAGCCAGAGCTGTGCGTGTTGCTGCCTGCTGCACACAGTGGCCGCGAACCCCCTGACAGCCCGGGAGCTGGTTTCCCTGTCGGAGGGGCGCTAGGCTGGGAGCGTGGGGTCCCCTGGGCCACGCACTGGCCTGCACACCCATCTCCCTGCGGGGAGTGTGGTCAGGTCCCTTTAGCAGCACTGCAGGGCCACCAGCCCACCGTTCAAAGTCGCTCCCTCAGCCCCGTTCCTGTGGGGCGCTCCTGAGTCAGAAGGCAAACCACATTCCGAAATCGGCTCATATGTTACGGGGGAAGGGACAGAGCCGCTTCTGGGGGCGGGCGTGGGCCTTTGGTGTGGACGCACGGGTTATGTCTGCGTGCTGCTCATTGTGGCAACTGTGGGCAGTGTCTGCGTCCCAGGTCTGCCAGCTGGAATCCCAGCTCTCAGTAGGGCTTTATGGCACCCACGTTGCTTGCTTGTGCCTGCCTGTGACTGTCGCTGTAGGAGTTGCCGTCCTTCCCTGGGAAGCCCGTGGCGGTCTGGTGGTGGTGTTTCCTTCGTTGCAACAGCATCTCCAGCCTCCCTGCACAGAACCTTGTCCCGGTTCCCACTCGTCGTTTTATGCCTCATTCCTTACAGGATACGTTCAGGATTCTTCCATGAATATGCAAACCGTGGTAACCAGGATGCCTTCTCTCTCTCTCCCCCCCTTCTGCTGCTGCTAGGTGCCTGGAGATTTGAGTCAAACATCTGAAGACCAGAGCTTGTCGGATTTTGAAATGTAAGTCCACGGCGTGTGTTCATGAGGGGGTCCCTTAGAAACGGGGCGCTGTTGTTGGCTGAGGCCTGGGAGACAGCAGGAGGAGACACACATCATTGCTTCCATCTGCACCACGTTTGGGTCGGTTCTTGTCGATGTAGAGCTCCTCTAGTCCCAGCCTGGCCTTCAGACATGTTTTATCTCATGGCTGTTGAAATACAGACTTTTAAAACGTTGGCTGACATTTGAGAGTTGGGAGATAGCACATAAATATTTAAGTTATTATAGTTTTCTTAAACAGCTGGTCTCACGTTCCTGCAAGGCCACGGTCAGTGGGAGACAGGGGCGGCTGCCCCCTTCGCGTAGGACATGTGTTCTTCCCGTGCCTCAGTTCCCACTTTCCCCCGTTGTCCGACTCTGACCCACTTCACCCAGTTTGTAGTCTGTGTAGTCCCCATATGCATTTGAATCTGCCACCTCTGACTTATTTACCTGGTGCGTTAATGTGGATTTTAGAGGATTTGATTTTATTTGGGGCTTTTGTTAATAACTCCAGAGGGAAGCTACTTGGTCATCAGGCGATCGCTGTTCAGGTTGCCTTGGTGTTTGGACAAATCGTCCACCAAGGCAGGGATCGAGGCAGGGTGAGTCCCGGGAGACCGGGCTGTGCCGAACCTCATTCCCTGGTGGCCAGTGGGAGCTGCGGCCTCCCCGTGAGAAGGGGCTTCTAAAGTGGGAGAGTTGGGGATGGCTGAAGAATCTGCACGCTCCGAGATGCAGCACGCGTGTAACACTGCTGTGGCCGTGGGCAGGACTCACATTTTCACTGGACCTTGATTTCCCCCTTAGTGAAGCCAGGGCCCTCCCTCCTACCTCAAGGGCCTGAGGAGGCGATTTGAGTGAGATCCCAAGAAACAGCAGGGCACTGAAAGCCATCGCGTGCCTCGGCGGAGGTGGGGGCTGCCCTGGAGGGTGAGGAGGTGAAGGATGGAAATGAAGAGGGATGCACCTGCAGGGGGGTGTACAGTGTGGAGGGGCTTCTGGGAGGGCAGGGGCTGGAGAGCAGCGGCAGGGAGAGCTGCTGGGCATAGTCCCAGACATGGGTCAGCTGGGGCACAGGGCGCACTTGGCTTCTAACCAGGAGCTCACCAAGCCCCTGCTGCGGGCAGGAGTCATGGCGGGTCCTTGATGGAGGGGCTACATCAGCCACAGGCCTTGCCTTCCAGTGGCCTCTCCTCTGCCTGGGCCAGGCCACATCCTCTTGTCCCCACGATCTGGGGCCTCCTCCCGTCCACCTGTTTGCTCGTCTGTACTAAAGCAGAGGGAAACAGTGGCACCACTCCTCCCTGTCAGGGTGAGACTAGAACCTTCCTGCAGCCTGCTCAGGAAGCCCTCACTGGCCTTTGGCCTCACTCACAGTTCCCTCCTGCTGTCACACAAAGCCACCCTACCCATTCTGTCCCCCTCCCCCTCCCGTACCCCAGGGTTGTTACTGCATTAAGCCCCAAGTCTGCAGTGTGCCCTCAGTGCTGGACACTGTCCTCACTCACTCCGCCTTCCCCACACCCTCTGGGATGGGTGCTGTCTCAGTGGTGATGGGTTTGAGCTGGGATTCACACCCCAGCTCCTCACACGTGTCCTTCCCCTGCCTGAAGCGCCTGCCCCAGCCTCCACCTCCCCTCCCCCAGCTTGGCTGACCCTCAGACTTCCCCAGAACCTGGGCCAAACCCTGCTTCCTCTGATGCCCCAGACCACAGCAGGCCCACCTGGTGCCCACAGCCCTTCCATCTGGAGTCCCTTGGAGAGATCACAAAGATGTTAGTTATTTCTGTCTGACAACTGTGAGTGTCGGTGCACCTGACCACAGAGCCCCACAGTGTGCTGTGTGGAAGCTGACGGAAGTGGAGGGAGAAGCAGACAGTTCTACAGTAATTTGGAGACTCCCACACCCTACTTAACAGTAACGGGGCGGACAACTAGGAGGTGATAGATTGGAGCATTGAGGTGAACCAGTTAGGCACGACAGGTGACAGCAGAGCACGCACTCGGCCATGCACAGGGTAGTCCCCAGGGTAGACCAGGGGCTAGGTCACAAATTGTTGTCAGTAGTTAATTTTTTTTTTATCTTTTATTTAATGAATATAAATTTCCAAAGTACGACTCATGTGTTACAATGGCTTCCCCCCCATACCGTCCCTCCCACCCACAACCCTCCCCTTTCCCACTCCCTCTCCCCTTCCATTCACATCAAGATTCATTTTCGATTATCTTAATATACAGAAGATCAGCTTAGTATACCTTAAGTGTAGAGAGGAAGAATGAGTGTGCATGAGAGTACCTGCTCGTTGGGAGCCGGGAAATCAATCCAGGTCCCCCACTTGGGCAGCAGGGACCAAAGTACTTGAGCCATCGCCTGCTGCTTCCCAGGGTTTGTATTAGCTGGAAGCTGGAGTTAGGAGCTGGACCTGGGTTTCAAACCTACGCTCTCCCATATGGGACGCAGACGTCTTAACTGGCATCTTAGTCATGAGGCCAAGCACCCATCTTGAATAAATTGTTAAGAGTTGAAATCAAACAAAGGGTCTGGTTTGACCACAGTGAAACGGTTTGCGTGGAGATTTTTCTCTCTCGAACCGCGTGCTCCTGGACCTGGCCTCTGTCAACTTTCCTTGCTGCTCCGTTTGCAGTGGCTGCCGATGTCCAGCACACGGTTGGCTCTCGGGAGATTGTTATGGAGTGAGAGGATAAGTAAGTGAGGGGGTGAACAGGCAGATAACAACCCAGGAGGGACATGGCCATGGCAGCAGCCAGTTCCAGTCCAGTCGCTGCTCTGAAAGGGGGAGGCAGCTCACCCAGTAGCCCTGGGAGGTCAGCTGGCCAGGGTGCTAGCTGTATTTGTCTAACAGTCCTCTCCCTGCCCCTGCAGTTAACAGAGGTCAGAGGGGTTTGCTGTAGGCACTGGTACGATCCTGGGGACCTTTACAGGCAGAATGTCACTGGATTTGCAAAGCTCAGCATTGCAGTGTGTACCTGCCTCCTGGGAGCTGACCAGTGGGGTGCAGTGTTCCCCGTGAAGGAGGTCAGGCCAGCAGCATAGAAGAAATCCAGTGTCCGGAGAGAGCCGTCACCTGGAGGTTTACTGCCTTTGTGAAAATGCAATGCTTTTTGCTCTGGAAGTCGTGAGAACATGAAGTCACAAAATCTTGCGTCTCCAATATCGCAAACTGCATTCCAAGTGCGGGAGGCTGGTGGGCTTTATGAGCTGCTCTCGAGGCAGGAGGAGAGCGCAGGAAAAAGCCTCTCACCCTGGGGTGCTCCAGGCAGAGGCAGAGGCAGAGGCTGGGGCCTTGCAGCCCTTCCAGGAGAGCGGTGCCCCTGCGGGAGCCACCCTGGTTGACCTTGAGGTTGCGTGACAGTCAGCCTGCCAGCCCTGCGAGACCAGGCTCCAGTGTGCTGGAGGTGGTGGTGCTGTGTATGTGTGTCAGTGACTCGTGAGCCGAGGATCAAGTCAGCCCACAGGGAAAAACTGTCGCATCACCAGAATCGGCCTCCGACAGCCTGTGTGAGGACTCGCTGTGTTAGTGTAGGTGGGAGTGGAGCTGTGTGCTGCAGGTGCTTGCTAAGTGATACTGTGTAGGAATTTAAAGCTTGCTGTATTAGTCCCAAACACACAGAGTCTTTGGAGAAGTTGAAGGCTGAGTGTCTGCGCCGGCATCCTGCTTTTCCAAGCTGGCACTTCCTGTTGCCCTTCTGTCCCCCGACCCCAGACAGCCACGGCTCTCAGGGTCATGGTGGTGTTCTCCCGAGCGCCTTGGGGGAGTCAGGCTGTGCAGTCAGCAGAGCGAGGAGGCAGTGCCGGCTGCGTGCTTCAGAGACTGGGGGCGTCACCGGCCTGGCCCCCGTAGCTTCCTCTGGTTATCCCCTGTTTCAGATGGGAAGACCGAGGCTCAGATCAATGATGGGACAGGGACACTCAGCTGTGAACAGCTGAATTCTCATTCCAGAGTATAAGCCGTGGAAAGAAGTGAATCATTTTCGGCCCAAGGGGCTGGGTGGGAGGCCTCCCCTGGCCTTCAGCGTGCCAACCCGAGTCGTAATGTGACCTGTTGATCTCTTTCTCTTGGGCAGATCCAACCGGGCGCTGATCAACGTGTGGATCCCCTCGGTGTTCCTCCGGGGCAAGGCAGCGAACGCGTTCCACGTGTACCAGGTATGCGCCTGGTATCCAGGCCCACGTCACCACCAGGCCGGGGAGGCCTGGCACCTGTGTGGTGTGCTTGGGCTTTGCCTCTTAGTGGTAGGGGACTGTTCTTGGGAGCCCCGGTTCTCCCGTCACTGACACGTTAGCTGCCCAGCTGCCCTGAGGAAGCGGCCCTTGTCCTTCAGTGAGGCAAAAGGAACAGGGGGGAGCTTCGTTGGGCCTACTGGCCTCTGAGTGTGTCCCCTGCAGAACCTCAGCTCCGGCCACGTAGGCAGAAATGAGTGTTCGCTGGCTTGGGCTGTAGCCGGGAAGCTGGGCTTCAGGCAGGCCTGCACCTGCTGTCGGGAACGTGCTGCCATCCCTGTCCTGCTGCCAGGCCCCCTTCTTGGGCTGTCGTCCGTGATTGACAGGGTGCCCAGGTAACCCCTGCGTCTCAGCAGCCGGCCTTGGATTGCGAGCCCATCGTTGAATCCCGGGTGAGCTGTGGACTGGCAGTTGGGCTCCTGTGACCACTGCCGGTGCAGGAATCTGCATGGGCCTCCCGACACGTGTGTGAGATGGGAGGGAGGAGGCTCCTCGGTGAGAAGTGGGCTGCTCTTCTTGAGGGTTGGGGCCTTGGCTGTGTGACAAGCAGGGGTGCACGCATCCCCTCGGCTTCCGGAGGTAGAGAGTGCCGTCCCCAGGGGAGGCGCTGGTGTCTGGGACCACAGCACCTCCGTCTCCCCGGGACGTGGTTTTGCCCACCCGTCTCCTCCCCAGTCTCCTGATGGCGCCTTGCGCGCTGCCCGCCTCTGCTGCTCTGTCTGTCCTCCTCTGCTGCCGGGGCCCCAGCCTCCTGCAGTTCCTGCTCTGGAACTGTCCCTCCTAGCCCTGACTGGGAGCCGCTTCCTGCTGCTTCTGTCCTCGTGCGTCTCCGTAGTTTTCGTTAGGTTTTGTTCTTATTCCCCACGAGTTCTGTGGGCAGCTTTGGGTTTTCCCATTTTTCTTCCTGGGAAATTTGTGCACTAAAGAAGTCTTCTCAGCTGTAAAGATGTTTTCTCCAGAGAGTGAGGTGGTGGTGAAGACGGGAACCCTGCTTTAAATCCTGAGACCTCAGCCAAATCTTAGGTCCTCCGTCTGTGAAGAGGAAATACTACTGCTTACCTTGGACAGCTGTTGTGGGGTTAGAGCCACACTGCCCAGAGGGGCAGGCCTGTGGTCCAGCAGGTGAAGTCACCATGTGGATGCCCGCCTCTCCTATCAGAGTGCTGGTCTGCGTCTTAGCTGTGCTGCTTGTGATCCAGCTTCTACAGTAGCATCTGGGAGGCAGCAGGTGATGGCACAAGCGCTTGGGCCCCTGCCATCCACGTGGGAGACCCGGATGGAGATCCAGGCTCCTGCCTTCAGCCTGGCCCAGCCCTAGCTGTTGTGTGGACGTGTGGGGAATGAACCAGCAGATTTTTCTCTCGCTCGCTCACTCGCTCTCTCTCATTCTGCCTTCCAAGCAGATGAAAACAAATATTTTCTTAACAATAAACACGCAGCACACAGTAGACATTCACTGCTCATTTCTGCCTTCCCACATGATCGCCATGTTTGGTCGTGGGGTGACTGGTAGGTGTCTGGCGCGAGAAAGCCGTTTAGGTCCACGCTCAGCTGGGCAGCGTGGCGCTTCCCTAAGTGTTAGGACAGGCTGAGGGTTCCTGATGCTCTCAGCTGTGGTTTCGGGAGGGAAGGCGCTGGGACAGGTTTCTGAGTATCTTCTCTTTATCTTTTTATCCCAACACAACAAACACAACACCTGACGTGTGCGTGCACTTCCGGTTCTGCCTTGCGGTCGTCGACAGCTGGGAGGCAGTGCCTGGAGGATGACGGGAGGAGGCGGGCAGCTTTATCTCGGAGCAGAGTCAGGACAGGATCGTGTCTGAGAGGCCTCCTTGCCCCTTCCGTCTTGACTTCCCCCGCCCACCCCAAGAAGCAGCCTGGCAGTTCTTAGCTTCCGAGCGTCAGCTGTGAGACGAGACGACGCAGCAAATGTGCCGTTGCCTGGGAGATTGTCTCTGCAGTGGCCAGGGTGGCGTTAAAGCCACTCACTGCCCATTCTTTGCTGCGGGCGGCACTCTCCTGGACATGGCCCAGATCTCAGCCATGCACAGGCTTTGCCGTGCCCGCATCAGCTGGCGCAGTGAGAGCGGGCATTGTGACGTTGGATCAGAGATGACTCATTGAAAATACTGGTATTATTGGACATTTTTTTAAGGATTAAAAAAATGCATGCACTATCTAATTCCATGAGAGACTTAAGATAATTTTTAGAGACACATATGGAAAAGAGGGATAAAAGAGAAGTAAAAAAAAAAAATCGAGGTCAGATAAAATGTAAGCTGACAGTTTAAGAGGTAAACTGGAAGCCATGTATGTCTGTCACAGAACCCTACACACTGCTCCCATTGATCTGTGAGTCTCCTGTGGGTTTTCCGGCATCCAGTGTGAAACGTGGAATTTTCTTTGGTATAATTCCATTTCTAATGAAAAGGAAATGTGTTAATTTTGCAAAAAGAGCTCTGAAAGAATTTTTTACACAGGGCTTTAGACGAAGCAATAATGGAGAATGTTCTAGACAGTCCCTGCTTCTCTGCCGGTGAGAAATCGCACCTGGTTTGGTGAGGAGGAGGCCCAGGATGCGCCAGGTGGCAGGAGAAGACACAGAGCCTCCAGGGTCACTGCGCTGACGCCACAGTCAGCGGCCGTGTGTATTTAGGTTTAAGTTAATTAAAATAGAATCAGAGGAAGGTTCAGTTCCCCCGTCACGCTGCTCCCGCACGGCTGTGGCTGCTGCCCTGGGATGCGGAGGGAGGCAGAGATGGACGGTGAGGGAGGCGGCTCAGCCCGCCTCGGCCCTTCTGTTGTCCCTCGGTCCTGGGAGACAGCCTGGCACGTGCTGCCCTCTTGCCTTTCCTGCCCCGAATCCTTCTGGGGGACGGCAGGCAGGCCCGGGAGCAAGGCCCCTGGCTGGCCACGGGCTCGAGCGTCCTCACGTTGCTGTGGTTCTGCTGTGTTCATTTTCACAGGGGCCTCCTCGTTAGGGCTCGGAATTCTGTTTTTTTCTGTTTTGGCGCAGTTCCCTGTTGAAGGAGATTTTAAGTGAGAAGAGGAGAGTCCGCTCACAGAAAGTGCTGCGTAAGCAGTGGTGACAGCAGCGTGGGCGAGCAGCGTGCTGGATGGGTGGGTGGGGGCCGTTCACGGAGCGCTGACACAAAGGCACAGGCAGAGTGTGCTTGGGGCGCTGAGCCGCAGCCAGGGTGGGAGTGCCACGTAACGTGGCTCACGCTCGCCCTCACAGCAACCCTGAGCGGCCAGGAGCGCCATGACCCTGTTACAGACGAGGCAGCCAAGGCTCAAAGAAGCATCCCATTCCCTAACAGGTTTTCCAGCCCGAAATGCTGGAGCAGAGAACACTGGGAAACAGCACCTTCATAGAAACTGCAATTTGGACCCCTCTGGGAGTAGCGGGGCTCAGGCTGGCTGGGGTCTACCCATGTGGATGGCTCCCTGCGTACCTGACACTATGGGTCCCATGTAGATGGTCCCTGATCCCTGAGACTGTGGGTCCCTGTGGACAGCCCCTGGTCCCTGAGACTGTGGGTCCCTGTGGATGGCTCCCTGCGTACCTGACACTATGGGTCCCATGTAGACGGTCCCTGATCCCTGAGACTGTGAGTCCACTGTTGACGGCCCCTGGTCCCTGAGACGGTGGGTCCCTGTGGACGGCCCCTGGTCCCTGAGACTGTGGGTCCCCGTGGACGGTCCCTGGTCCCTGAGACTGTGGGTCCC